AGACATTTCTCTTAATAATTTTGAACTAATTCAGCAGACAATTTAATTTTATTTATGGTAAGTAGTTTTTTGGTGATTGCTCAGCCCATTTTTTTTGTCACTCGATACCATGCATCTGAAAAATTTTACTGTGTTCGCCATCAATTCTTGGCATCTTTGCAGAGATCAAAGTGTAGTATCTGTTTTTATCACCTTAATCTGATTCCCTCTCTCCACTTCTTTCATTTTCTCACTGAAACCAAGTAATGTCTTTCGCACATGATCAAAACATAGAATAGTCCATTATTTATGAGGTATGAACACAGCATAATTGTTGTGCTATCAACAGGAGGGACATGTACAATTATAATAGGATTCTAAAATAACTAATGCACCCTGCATATGCAATGGTACCGAGACTTACAATATATTCTCTACATTTTTTTTTCTTTTGCAGGTTCTAAATTAAAGTTTTGTGTTGTTTTTTTTTTTTTTTTTTTTTTTTAAATGTTACACTAGTCAGAAAAGAGTGTGGTAATTTTTTATGCACACTTTCATATTGTCATGAGACTTAGTTTTTCAATGCAGGCTTATTAGCATCATGGCTGACAAGACTGCCCGTATATTTTGCTGCTATCATGTGCACACTTTCAGACTCACCACATGCATAAATACATGGCTGTGTTTTTTTTTTTTGTTGTTGTTTTTTTTTTTTTTTTTTTCTTGAGACAGGACCAAGATTAATCTCGCACAAAGGTGGGTCCTGCCTGATAGGGGATTTGTTATAATGATTTGAGGCAAGTTTTTACAAGGCTAGATTCTCTTCCTGATGCCCAGCTCTGACTCTGAAGCCTTTCATACAGTTAGATGCTTTCTTCTTACCAAGGACTGATAAACTAGCAAATACAATATTTATTGATTTTGTTTATTTTTAGTTGGAATCGATTGATCATCAAATCCTAATACTTGAAGACGAGCCTGACACTGTTGTTGATGTCTGTCACCAGTTGCATCGATTCTTTTGGGTCCTGGCATGATCAATGGAGTTTCCTGCTTTCAGTACATTATAGACAAGTTCATTGTCAACAATGTTCTTTCTGATATATTGCTTACTTAGCATAATTGTTTTTTACAAGTGAGGAAGAACCTGGCATTGATCTCGGAAGATTTATCTCACTTAGAGTTATTCTTTTTGAGATATCATGTCAGTCAATAAAATTATGATTCAATTGTTGAAGAAATTGAATTCCTTGAAACAAATAGAATTTATATCCATGTAAGACTTAACCCCCTGCAGGTCATTTATGAAATAGTCTTTCCTGAGTATAGAAATTTTCTTCTATGAATTATCTGTATTGTAACAACACTTGTGGTTATTCCCAGTTTTCTAATGTGAAGGCACTTCTGGTTATTCCCTCTTTCCTAATATAATAGCACTTGTGCTTATTCCCAGTTTTCTAATGTAATGACACTTCTGGTTATTCCCTCTCTTCTAATGTAATGATACTTCCTGTTATTCCCTCTCTTCTTAGGTAACGTTACTCCCTCTTTTCTAATATAATGGCATTTCTGGTTATTCGCTCTTATGTAATGGCACTTGTGGTTATTTACTTCTTTCTAATGTAATGGCACTCGTGGTTATTCCCAGTTTTCTAATGGAATGGCATTTCTGGTTATTCTAATGTCATAGCACTTCTGGATATTCCCTCTTTTCTAATATAATGACACTTGTGGTTATTCCGAGTTTTCTAATGTAATTGCATTTGTGGTTATTCCCAGATTTCTAATGCAACAGCACTTGCGGTTATTCCCAGATTTCTAATGGAATGGAATTTCTGGTTATTCCCTCTTCTTGAATGTTATGGGATTTGTGGTTATTCCCTCTTCTTGAATGTAATGGCACTTCAGGTTATTTCCTCCATTCTAATGTAATGGCAGCTGGGGTTATTCCCTCTTTTTTAATGTAATGGACTTGTGGTTATTCCCAGTTTACTAATATAATGGCACCTCTGGTTATACCCTCTTTTCTAATGTTATGACAATTCATATTTTTTTTCTTCTCTTTTAATGTAATGACAATTCTAGGTATTTTCTTTCTTCTAATGTAATGCCACTTCTGGTTAATCCCTCTCTTTTTAGGTAATGCCACCTGTCGTTAATTCCCCCTTTTCTAATATAATGGCATTTCTGGTTATTCCCTCTTTTCTCATGCAATGGCACTTGCGGTTATCCCGTGTTTTCTAATATAATGAAACTTGTGGTTATTTCCTCTTTTCCAATATAATGGTACTCGTGGTTATTCACTATATTCTAATGTAATGGCACTCATGGTTATTCCCTCTTTTTTTAATGTAATGGCACTCGTGGTTATTCCCACTTTTCTAATGTAATGTCATTTGTTGTTATTCCCTCTTTTCTAATGTAATGTCATTTGTTGTTATTCCCTCTTTTCTAAAGTAATTCCACATGTGGTTGTTCCTTCTTTTCTGTGGTTATTCCCTCTCTTCTAATGTAATGGCACTTGTGGTTACTTCCAGTTTTCTAATGTAATGTGACTTGTGGTTATTCCCTCTTTTCTAATGTAATGGCATTTGTGGTTATTCCCCTCTTTTCTAATGTAATTCCACCTGTGGTTATTCCCTCTCTTCTAATGTAATGCCACTTCTGGTTACTTCCAGCTTTCTAATGTAATGTCACTTGTGGTTATTCCCTCTTTGCTAATATAGTGGCACCTGTGGTTATTCCCTCTTTTCTCATGTAATGACACCTGTGGTTATTCCTTCTTTTCTCTTGTTGTGGCACTTGTGGTTATTCCCTCTTTTCTAACGTAATGTCATTTGTGGCTATTCCCTCTTTTCTAATGTAATGGCACTTCTGGTTTATTCCCTCTTTTCCAATGTAATTCTACCTGTGGTTATTCCCTCTTTTATAATGTAATGGCACTTGTGGTTATTCTCTCTCTTCTAATGTAATGCCACTTCTGGTTAATTCCTGTTGTCTAATGTAATGACACATCCGGTTATTCCCTCTCTTTTAATGTAATGCCACTTCTGGTTATTCCCTCTTATGCAATGGCATTTGTGATCATTCCCTCTTTTCTAATGAAATGGCACTTCTGGTTATTCCCTCTCTTCTAATGTAATGCCACTTCTGGTTATTCCCTCTCTTCTAATGTAATGGCACTTCTATTTATTCCCTTTTTTTAATGTAATGGCACTTCTGGTTATTCTGTATTTCTAATTTAATGACACTTCTGGTTATTCTGGTCTTCTCTAATATAATGACCCTCCTGTTTGCTCTGTTTATTTTTCTAATGTAATGACACTTCTGCTTGCCCCCTTTTCTGTAATCTAATGACACTTCTGCTTATACTGTTTTCTCTATTGTAATGGCAGTTGTTTATTCATTTTAGTGATTATTAGCATGATGGCTTTATAAGACTGTTTTTGCTAATTTCTCATGTGAAAATGGCAGACCTTGTTTCTTACTGAAAAGATGTGTTCATTTTTGTATAGTTAGAATCTGACCGTGTTCTAACTGTGGGTAAATGCTCGAAAACCATACTAAAGGTTAACCCAAGCCTTGTGAATGAAATAGAGGGCTTCTAAGCAATTCCGTCTCCACCCCACCTGTGGTCCTTCCAGCATGAAGGCACAAGTAATGATCAAATGTTTGTACATAAAATTCTGGAATTGGTCTTCAACTACTAATCATGCTAGATGATGTACTCTCTCCCAGAAGCTGTAACTAAAATCTGCTCAGTTTAGTTGCAGTAGCTCTGTGGGTGTTGAAGAAACATAAATATGCCTGAGCAAGTGTTTGCGATAGGGATTAGTTAATTGACTTTTCAGAAGTAATTTTCATGGATATATCTTGAGTGATATTTGATGGACCTGATTGATAGCCCAGGGGATGGATTTTATTCTATTCAGAAGTGCCTGTGGCTAAAAAGTCGACAAGGATGTGGTAATGTTATGAATGGGCTGGAATTATCAACCAAACCATTATTGGACTAGTTAAAGTCAATAAATGAGTTAAATTGAACAGTGCTAACTATTGCAATTTTATGAACAAGACTTTCTTTGCATGGTACAAGTCCTAGTCTTGCAGTTTCAAAGTGAAGTGGGTATTTATGCACGGCAATGCTCCTTCTCATATATTTAAACTTACCAGTGAATCCTTTGAGCATAAACGATTTACAGAAAAGATGATGGAATGGCCATCATGAAGTCCTGATCTGAATCCAATCAAAAATCTATGGTCAATTGTGATGATGAAATTATATGAAGGTGGCAAACAATATAACAGCAAATCAAACCTATAGGAAGCAATTAAAACGACCATGTTGGAAATTCGACCTGCTAAAGTAAAAAAAAAATTAACATCAATGGATATTAGATTACTGGCTGTTATTAAGAAGGGTCACTATATTAAGATGTAAAGGATTCAAAGATTTATCCTATGTGTTTGTTCTATTATTGGTGCAATTTTTGATGATTTTATTACCTTTTTATTGAAGTAAAATGTGATTATTTGGTGTTTCCTAATAACTCCGGATGGCATTTTTTAGAATACATCAAATAGCTTCAATAAAACATTGATACTACTTAAGATTTTAACTCGGGCTTTGTTTTGACATCTAATTTTTTTCAAACCAAATTTGAATTATTGAAGTTTATATGGTTTGCTTAATAACTTCAAACATAGTTTAGATTGCTGTCCTCTATATTACTATGTTATTTCTGAAATAAAACTTTTCTGATAGTCAAGTTCCACCTCTTTGCTATAAGAAAATCTTATTTTAAATGTTATTGTGCTTAATTTTTGCAAAAACTTTTGTGATATTTCAGTATTGCACAATAAACAAGAAGATTGTTGTAATATTATCTATGAAACAAATTGTTCATTGTATTATTTTCTTCTTTAAAATGACACTATGTAATTTTTATGCTTTGTGAGATTTAATTTGTTAAATGGATTTTTTCGCATGGAATAACTGGAAATTTTATTTTTGTATTTAGGCGTTGCTTTCTCTTCTGAATGCACAAAATGCCGCAATGGAACATTCAGTGATCGTGTGGGAGCATCTTACTGTCAGGAATGTCCAGAAAATACTTATTCTCAAAGAGGAGCTTCAGAATGCAAAAAGTGTGATCCAAAAACAGAATATTCCAGTGAGTATTTACTAAATTTGAATGCATGAGAATGGGAAGAAAACAAACAAAACAAAAATAGACAATTCTCCATTTTTGTCGATTCACAGAAATGGTCTTATTTATATTTACTATTGTCCTCATCTTTGTTATTATTATCACCTGATCACATGTTTGAATTTCTGGGATGAGGAGTTATCATTATTTTCATTATTTACATGATGACCATTTTCCTCATCTTTGTTGTTATTATCACCTGATTACTTTTTGCCTGAATTTCTGGGATGAAGAATTATCATTATTTACATGCAAACTATTGTCCTCTATTTTTGTTATCACTTGGTCACCTTCTGTTTGAATTTCTCGGATGAGGGATTATCATTATTTATCCCATTTATATTCCGACTATTATCCTCATCTTTGTTGTTATGATCACCTGATCGCCTTCTGTCTGAATTTCTGGGATGAGGGATTATCATTATTTTCATTATTTACATGCAGAGTATTGTCCCCCATCTTTGTTGTTATGATCACATGATCGCCTTCTGTCTGAATTTCTGCGTTAACGTATTATTGTCCTCATCTTTGTTATCATCAATTGATCCCTTTCTGCCAGAATTTCTGGGATGAGTTATCATTATTTATATGTGGACTATTGTCCTTACCTTTCTTGTTATTATTTGATTGCCATCTGTCTGAACTTCTGAGATGAGCATGTGGCAAATGTGTGTCAGTACAGAGGCAAAAGAAGCCCTGGATCATGTGCGAACATCTGGGTTTTCCCTAATAGCATTGGGACAGCTTGGCATGTCTAGAAACGGACTCTCTGCAAGATCTGGGTCTATGTAAGATGCCACATGACAATAAAAGCAAATGGGAAAACCAGCAGTCAGCAAATCACAGATCTTGTGAAGTTGGCATTTTGTTCCTAAAGTTGGTGTGGTTCCTGAGGCAGTGTTATTTTTGTTACCTCCCATCTCTTTCCCTTTTTTTTGCCTGTTACCCCTCTAGTTGCTGGGAGAGTAATCAGTTTGGTGTCTCCCCCCCCCATAACCTCAACAAACTCTTGCCATACATTACAACAGAGTAGTTATCATTATTTACATGTGAACTACTGTCCTCATCTTTGTTATTATCCCAATATTTTGGCCTTTGTGCCATTTGGCCTTCATCAGGTACTTGTCAATCTGTGCAACTTACTGGGAATTTTGAACTGAACCCTTTATTTAATCTACAGAGGTATATTGTTTGTGTTCAACTGGCCATGTCTAGGGATATCTTATCAAGTTCTTATTTTTAGTACTACTTGGTTAATTTTTGCCCCATTTCCACAGAATCCAACTACATGCAGCCTGTGAACTTTCAATGACTAAGTCACCAAAGAGACAAAAATCACCTAGGGGTTCAAAGCATTGGTTTGTGAATTTAGTAATTGTGAATTCAATCTCATCCATATAAAAGTCTCGATCTAACAAAGCTATTTAAGAACATGACTCAAATTTTCTTTTGATGTTTTGGTTTTGTAGCAATTTGCAGTGTTGGGCAAAACTACCTCTAGTACAGCCTATTCTATGTTCAGTTTCCTTTTTTCCAAAACTAAATTTGTTATAACAGATCCATAGGCCAAAGTAGTTGAAGTGTTTAGAATCAGTAGACTCGTTTTGGTCTAAAATATGTTTTTACCTCGATAGCAAAATTTTGGTTACCCAATAAAATCAATCACACCTGAAGGAATTGATAAAAGAATATTATCAGTTATTGAGGATTCTGCTTTGAAAAAAAAGGACATCAAGGGAGTAAGTAAAAAATTATCTGTGCTTACACCATAACATATCTTTTAGATTTGTCAAACTGCTGTCTACTCATGCATGTTATGGGGGTATGTGAATACAAAAACATACTATCTTCAAAGAAAGTGGCATCAAGCAACTGGAGTCGCTCTTGCACCGTAAATATCAATAGTGAGGTTCAGATCCAAAAAATAAGTTTGACGTTGCAAATCCAAGGGTGAAAAATTAGCCTCACAAGTCCAATGCCAGAAAATGCGAGAGACATAAATCAAAAAAATAAAAAATTAACATCACAACTCGCAACGCACAATTATCTTCTTCACCCATCAAAAGCCAAGCAGTTCTTCGGTCTGAAGTAGCATTCTTTAATTGGGGTAAGGAAAGTTGTAATTGGTCAAGGATGGTAGGGAAGTGCAAGCAATTACGCTATTTTGAGACCTACTAAAGTCGACCTGGTCTTGTTCTGATTTTCTTTTTCGACAGATTGCACAAAGAACACAAATTCTTTTTCAAGGTAAGACTTTGATATCACTTTGTTGCTTAAGGAGCCCAAACAGATGATGATCTGAAGTCAGCCAAATGTTGACTCTGGGAGTATCCATTGTCACCCACAAAATTCAAAGTTGTGTGGTCAACAAAGAAATTGATGGCAACATTCTCAGATGGTTAGCAAAAATACTGGACAGAGTAAAGGTATTTGTTGAAAGAGACCTAATATGCATAAGGGTGTGTACTGTTGCTTCACAATGCTACTCCACACTCTGCCAAACTGTATCTCCAACTGTAGTGTCTCCAGCAAGATGGTTGGGATGTTTTACCACATATACTACATAATCTTGATTTGGTTCCTGATTTGGTGAGCAGTTCCACACAGAAGATGCTCATGTTGCAGGCATACAAGTTTGGCTCCAATTACTTTAAGGATGAAATTTATGCATTTGTGCATCATCGGGAAAAGTGCATTAATTTTGATACTATATGGAAATGTAGCATAAGAGTGCTGGTAATATATGCACAATGTTTTATTTGTATAGAAATAAATTTGTAAATGTTTGTATCTTAATTTCTATATATCCTGCGTGGTTATGATAAAATCTTTATATCTTTGGCTATTTTCTACAAGCTTTTATACCTCTTGAATTGCTCTACACTGAAATGATTGCCAGTAGATTGAATTGTTCCGAGGATTATATATATATATATATATATATATATATATATATATATATATATATATATAAAATAGAAAATTCTTTAAAAAGCAAAAGAATATTTGGTTTTAAGTAATTCTATTTTGTTTTCTCTATTTTATGGTTTTAAAGTAATTCTATTTTTGTTTTTCTCCATGCTTGAATATGGTTTTAAAGTTGACTCAGAAAAAGTCAGTCAACTGTAATGTTTAAAAAAGAATGAATATATTTAACATTTGTTGGCATATTATAAAGTAGGTGATAAGATTGAACTGATAAGCAGTGGAGGTAAAGTCAGTATTTTAGAAATAAACTGTATATAGGTCAGCATGCAGCTGTTTTAGCTGTAGTTATTGTTGAAATCTTTTGGTTATCTCCTTTGAAATTAAAAAATGATTAAAACATTTTTGCAACTATTTCTTATAGCATACCTGATATTGATAAGATTTTAATGTTCTTATGTATTTTGTTTTGAATACTTGAATTTTGTTTTACAAATTAACAACATATTTTTTTTTCTTCTGAGTGGAATTATTAATGTTTAGTCTATCAAACTGAAATTGAAAATCTTTGGTAAATGCAAGTTTCCACCAATTTCTTTTTTTACTAAATTTAGAAAAATTGTTTCCTATTATGCATTTAATTTCTAGTTAGAAAAAAAAATATGGGTGCTGGAAGCGTGTGCACATATTTAATATCACAAAATGATGATGACTGTGTTGCGTGTAGGGAAACGTGAGAATATAACATTCACTGTTTGGGCAGCTTCAGGCAATGTAATGGTTAACAAGTTTGCTTCACTAGAATGATTACAAATGAGTAGTGAGTTCGATCTTTGCTGGGTGTCTCCTACTCTTCGACCTTTATGCCACAGCTAAGCTACACTTGGAAAATCACTATAACGCTCACTGTTTCCCCCCCACTCTTCTAGATTGCATAATATTAGACATGTCCCAAAGTTTCCAGTGAAACTTTTTTAATTGTTTATTCAGTCTTCAAGAAAGACTATTGCACACATCTTTTTGTGATTAATACAAAGAAATATTTATTTTCAGATTGTTAATATAATTTTCTTGTGATGTAATAGATATCGGCTTAGATTGAGAAATCAGCAAAGTTTGAATTCCAGTCTGATTCATTACATTTACTTATGCGCAAATACCATTGGGAACAGTATAAATCGATCTCTTCTCTTCCCAGCTATGGGTTGAATAGCAGAACAGACTGGATTCTATAGCCTTGGTTGGCAACCAGTCTACTGCAGAAAGAAACAGTAACCTACAGCAGGAAAATCTTCTGCTTACTCAGTCATAAATCGAAAGAAACATGATTGCCCAAGTGTGTATCATGCATGGCAATTAACCAAAATTCGTCCATGTTCTTCAGAACATTGGTGATCATGACTCTCCACAGTTTCTTGTCCTTTGTAGTTGTTAATAAATTTTGTCTTTTTGCTATCTCTTCTCAACCCCATTCTGTCATCCATTTACTCAAGCTTGCTAGATAGGTTATGCATTATTTTACTCTGTCACTCTTGCCTTCAGTATTCCCTGTGTGTATCAAATTTTCCAAGCCCTCTTTCCTCATTATGTGCCCATTAAATTTCAACTCTCTTTCTGATGTTAAGCGCCCTTTTTGTTTCCATTTTCTTTTAAAACTTTGTTGTTGCTCACATGTCTGGTCCATCGTATATTTATCTGGTCTCCCCACCAAGACTGGATGTGACACTAGGTCGTCTAAATGTGGGGTGTGCCATACACATACTTATGCATATGGGCCAAGGACACAAATGAATTTTTGCCCAGCCCCATGACCACTGTCATGCTGGCATTGGTGTTACATTGTGCCAACCTCTTTAGTGTGATGAGAAAGGTGCTGCCACAGGTTTGGGGTCCCTGTGGCTTCTATCTAAAATAGGGTGAATCATAGCTCCGCTTACAGTACAGGAATGTAAACCATGCTTCAGTAAACCCTCATTGACTAATGGCTAACTCCTGTGCCAGATTCATGGTATTCTCAGCTGTAGAATCTCATTTCTGTA